CAGCTAGTAGAATGAATCCAGTAGTTTCAAGCAAGGTAAACTGTATTAATGTATACTTTGACAAATACAAAATGGCGGATNTCAGTTATTACCAAACGTCACCATTTTTTATCGGCCGAATTTCCTTATAATCCCAAGCGGTAATCGGAATTCCAAGTGTCGTCTGCTAGAATGTAGTCCAACGAATGAAGTCACGTGATCAACTAGCGGATTCCGTGTCAGCAGAAAATTTCTATGGAACACAAAGTGGACCATATTCTTATGTTATTTCAGTGACTTTTAGCAATAAATCACGCTACGTATCTTATTTTGTCAGTCATTATTTTTTTTTAAAATCGTGGTTCTTTCAAGGAATTGTCACTAGTTATAATGAATTGATATTAAAGATAAATACTAAGAGAAGTTAATTATACCACCCGGTATCCATACAACGTGTTTTTATAGACTTATTTATAGATCAAACATTGTACACGAAAATAGGTGACGCATTCTGCCGCCGTTGCCGAGTTGGTTGCTCATGAAATATGGGTCAAAGTGAAGGATTAATAAAGAAAATCGAAACAAACCGATTTTTATTATTTTGTAGAATATCTGAGGAAACATCTAAGACATAAAAAAATTTTTTCGTTTTTTTAACTTTGACGAAATTCGGTGTTGAATCATTATATTCACGAAAATAGGTTACACCACTGTATTACTTTAGTAAAGCATGAGAATTAAGAATTAAGTGTCACGAACAAATAATCCATTTACACAATCAATATTCAGCCAGCCTGTTTCTAATCATTTCAACCTCGACGACCATTCAATAGACGATCTCACCCTAATCCCAATTGAGCGCATAGAAATTGACTTGCTCGAAGATGAAACTACCAAATTCCGTCAATCTAGGGAAGCCCATTGGATTGAGACATTGAATAAAGCAAGAACTATTGGACTAAATATTCACCATAATGTAGTCCCAGCAATCGAGCAAGCAAGATAGTTCATGACCACTATAAGAGCCTTCAAGAGAAATTCCCCCATGTCTATAAGCAGAAAATGATAGTTGCATATTCAAAAAATAAGAACTTAAATGATAATATTGTTCATAGTAAACTAAACACAATCAGTACATAATAGATACTATACCTCTCGCCCAAATTATTTTAAGATCAGAATCACAACAGAAGAAAACCTAGTATCAAGACCCTTAATCCCAAATAAAGCATCTGTTCCACCCTAGGCTTGTACATTTGAGAGAATCAAACCCTCCCTTCCCCGAAATCTCATTTGAATTTAGATTAAGATCCAATATGAACTATATATCACGATTCACTAAGGTAAATCAACTAATGCGAACTACATATATATCATAAAACACTACGATAAATCAACTAATGCGAACTACATATATATCACAATACACTACGATAAATCAACTAATGCGAACTACATATATATCACAAAACACTACGATAAATCAACTAATGCGAACTACATATATATCACAATACACTACGATAAATCAACTAATGCGAACTACATATATATCACAATACACTACGATAAATCAACTAATGCGAACTACTTATATATCACAATACACTACGGTAAATCAACTAATACGAAACACATATAATATATATCACAATGCACTAAGATAAATCAACTGACACAAACTACATATTCATCACACATTCTGACAACCTAATGTTATTCATTTTCCCTACATTTGCAGGTTATATCACATTCTAGTAACTTAATACAAACTACACATTCTGATAACCTAATGTAACTTATAATACATGTTCTTATTTCCCCTACATTTACATGTTTTATCCCATTTTGGTAACTGAATACAAGCTACACATTCTGATAACCTAATGTTACTTACTTATTTCCCAACACTTACATGTTATATCACATTCCTGGTAACCTAATACAAACTACACATCCTGATAACATGATATAAACAACACATTCTGATAACCTAATGTTACTTATTTCCCTACCGTTACAGGTTATATCACATTATGATAACATGATACAAATTACACATTCTGATGACTTAATGTTACTTTTTTCCCCAACACTTGCAGGTTATATCATATTCTGGTAACCTAATACAAAACACATTCTGATAACATGGTATAAACTACACATTCCGATAACCTAATGTTACTTATTTCCCTACCGTTACAGGTTATATTCTGGTAACCTAATACAAACAACATACTATTATATCACATTACATTCTGATAATTTATTGTAACTTATTTTTCCTACATTAAAATGTTATATTACATTTTATTCAGATAACCTAATGTAACCTAAATCTTCATATTACATTCTTTAATAAAATGTATATCATATATGTTACATTTAGATAACCTAATACGAGCTGCATAGATTTGATTTCTTGGCATGACTTCATAGACCATAGTCTGTGGAAACTAAAACGGAACTACGATCTATCTATGTTAGTCTGACCACATCACATTATAATGAATTATTTATTATTGCACAAATTCTTAAATTGAACAAAATGGATTAATATCACAAGCACTATGAAAATTGAAAATGATATAATCAGACGGTAAGTTATAAATATACTCCTATAAGTATATGATATAAACACATGAAAAATAAAACCTATTACATTACCTTAATGAAATAACATCCGACATCTATAGATCCACTTTACGTTATAACACCCACTTATAAGATTATAAAATTCGGTAAACGTGAGTTCAATTACTTATATTACCTCAATAATTCACTTCATTGATCAAGCGATTTCCTTCAAATCGAGTTCTCAATCAATATTTACATAATACTCAATATCAAAATATGACCAACTGTGTAATAATTATTATGGTCTGCTAAAATGTGGTTAAAGACTCCACTCTGCATGTTTTGGGCGTTATTTCATTTAGTTCAGACCTAAGACCTGATCATAATTTGGTAGCTTTTGTGAAAAATATATTTTCTACTCGTAACATTTCCTTCTAGAAAATTTATCTCAAATTGACACGAAGTCAGCCTTTTATTAACATATATGATACAATCATTAAATGATAAACTTGTTTCCAAGTTCCTTTGAAACTTATTGAATGTGAATATCTTATGCTATAAAGCCCTCTCATATATGTAAAACCAGAATTAGCCTACAAATAGAGCCTTCCCAAAAAGAGTTATAGGTATTTGAGGTTTGTATATAATATAATAGCTTACTTCTCTGCAGATAAGGTATCAGTTACGTGACCTGATTAGAGAACGCTTTAGTTCGCCTGTGCTAACCTTATGTGTGCTTTGTTTTTTGCACTTAAAGTTATTTTGCATTACTTATTTCATCGGTGGTGACGAAAGTAATTTTAACAGTTGAAACGCTGGCTTAAATATTTTCATAATCTCTAGATATCCTTAAAATACTTCTTTCCACTTGCCAATTAGCTAAAAGGTATCATATTTTATACAAAAGAATAAATTTGAATGAACCCGAACCGCACCCTGTCTAATTATAGATTATTTACTGTATTCATAACAAAAAATCGAGACCCTTATTCAATTTTATAAACCGGTGCTCTTGAATAGATCACAGAGTGACGACTCCTTTCACATCTCACCTTTAGTCATGTGATTAAAATGACTAATGATGATGTATGAAGATCATTATAATAATATATATACTACTATAGATTTAAGTCATCTAAATTTTTCAGAGGGGGGGTAAAAAAGTCACACGGTAATTTGGTCACAGTAAAAAGGTCACACGGTAATTTGGTCACAGTAAAAGGGTCACATGGAAATTTGGTCACAGTAATACGGTCACACGGTAATTTGGTCACAGTAATAAGGTCACACGGTAATTTGGTCACAGTGATATGGTCACACAGTGATCTGGTCAAGGCAAATCTAGTAAAATGAAATTACTGGTAACTTCATGTAGTGATATTTATTTCATAATACATAATATAGTGTTCTGCTTGCCCTCTGCCAGAGGACCTTGTGGGGCCCTGAACGGTCGAACAGTATTTGGTATACCTGTCAATCTGCAGCTATATAGTTGTTGCTGATACAACCCGCCACCGGTCTGCCTTTTAAGCTTGCAAGCCATACCACCGTTTAACTTTTGCCGACTCTTGCCATTCCAAATTACAGAATTCTCACTCACTCACTGAATGCAGCCTGTAAAATCATCCAGTATTGACTTCAGCAATGAAGTTGTTTTGATATGTATTTTATATATAATCTCCACTACTCATAAATTTCCGTGCCTGTACCAATAACGTGAGCGTTTCAAAGCAGATTCTTTTCGATTTTCGGGTGGGGGTAGGGTGAGATGCCTCGCATGTATCTCACGTATCTGAAGTTGCGCCCATCTCACCCTACCCGAAAATTGAAAAACGCTCAGGTCATTGGGACAGGCGTGGAAATTTACGAGCAACGGTGCTAATATATACGAGCGGACACCCACAAGGCTATACGCCCACCAGCAGCAAATCTCATCGCGGATTGAAACGGCTTGGTAGCACGTTTCAAGATTGAAATGGCTTGGTAGGCAAATTGATCTAAAGACTAGTTCATTAAACAATCGAGACAATGACACTATAAATTTAGGTCACATAGGCCTAACCGTTTATTATTTCAGTCTCAAACG